AGAATTTTAGAAAATTATTGTATTTAGAAAAATTGTCAGCAAACAATACAATAAGTTTTTAAAATTATACACTTTGAAATTATTTCTTTTATAATTTACTAATAATTTTTTAATTAAATGTAATTATTTTTTGCCAAGTCTATTAAATTACGCGAATGGAATACAATTTTATTTTCTTACATATCAGATATCTCAGAGATCAAAGATTTTGATCTATTTCGAAGTTTTTATTTTTTCTTCGCTGTTTGCTTGCGGGTACTCCAAACCAAGATTCATCATACATAAGCAATCGATAACCATCAGAAGTGTAATGAAACTTATTCATTATTAATTTGCTTTTTTGATCAGCTCCTTTATCTTGGGTATTTGATGAACATCTGTTTGTCTATGAAAACATTCTAATAATAAAATATAATTGATATACATTTTAGTAATTTTACTAAATCACGAGATATGCCTATAACTAATCGTATACTTAGTTCGTATACGTTGTACATATAGATGTATGTACAACAGTTTGTGTATGTCAACTTACTTTCCAACTGAACAACATTTAATGACTTTTTTTTACTAAAATGTTCTCGCTACTTTTTAACTCCACTTTTTTCAATACTATATTTCCAAGGTTCGGTATATGTTAGAAATAATTGAATCAACTTAGAAAGTTAAAAAGATTATAGAATGATGATATCAAAGAACATTAAAATTCGCTATTGAACATATTGAGAAAAAACGTGCTCCTCCATATAATTCTTATATAGAAGAAGAAAGTCATGCGAGGGAGAGAAAAGATATATATATCAAATAGCAGCTTTGGTCTTTTTACGTGTATTGAAATAAAAAAGTTTAGTCAGTATTCATTATATAATTAACCACAAATTTCTATATAAATACATATACTATATATAATCAAATATATATAATAATATATAATAATAATATATTATTATATTAAATAATAATATATATGTATCCATAAATATATTCATATATATATATTTATTTATTGTATATATATGTGTATATGTATATGATATAGAAATTTGTGAACTAGGATTTCCTTTAAAAGATATAACTAAAATTTTCTATTAAACTGGAACAGTCATTCTTTAAAGCTGTTTCTCTTGGTTTGCTTGCTTTAAATTTCAGTATTATACGTATAGAATTAAGTGAAATTCTCTCTCTCTCTCTGTCTCTCTCTCTCTCGCTAACAGAAATATAAATACCGACGCAAATGCCTCAGCAATGTAAACTATTTTATTTCGTTACTTAAAGATTTAATCGACATAAACAAAACTTTTCCTAGTTCGTTATCTATCGAATGTATCGAAATATAATTTTCGTTGTTAGCGCACAATAACGATAGCGCTCGATTATATAAAACTAGAGAAGGACCGTGAAGAAGATCACAAAAATTTGACCATTTCTAGTCTCAAACGGCACAAATTCGATTTTCTCAAAAGCTAATCCATATAGATTATTCCGCAACTTGATCTCGTGCATATAAACGACAGGACAATTACGCGACGTGAAAGCTATTCGTGTACACGGAACCTTGTAATAAGAGAATATTGTGATTAAAAACATTCTTTTTTTCCCTTGCACTATTCGTGTAAAGTTAAAAATGATATTATTATAAAATATCCCCGTTTTTTTTTTAATAAAATAAAACTGAGAAACTGTACGTGAGTAAATTTAAATAAAGCGTGATACACTTTGTCCCAATAGGGATATAGGTGTATTAAAAAAGAAAGAAGAACATCGTCATTTCATCTTAATCGTTCTTGTCCTTTCGAATTATAGTCAGATCTTAGGATCTTGTCGTTAAATCTATCGGTTTCTTCGCAACCGAGTTTTCTGCATCGCTGACGTTATCTATCTCATCGTCTGTCTCGTTCTGCAAATGATCACTAACGGGTGTGGTCGCGCCGGTTTTCATAGAGAGATCTATTGGATCGTCCTGCGGTGGTAGGCAGGCGACTTCCCGTTCCGGACTACACTCGGCTGAGTTATCTCCGGAAAGTCGTATTTTCTTCCGCGGTCTCTCCGACGTTTGCTCACTCTTTAGGACCATATCCAGGCAAAAACGGTCGTTATTGTTATTTTTCTCGTAAGAGTCTTTGTCGTCGTTTGACGACGTTGAGATTCTCAACGCGGTCGTCGTAGCCGCGGTTGTTGTCATGGTCGACGTCGTGGCGGTCGTGGGCTCGTCATTCTCATCGCTCGTAGTCACCGGCGAACGTTGCAGTATGCTGGATGGATGACTCGCCATGAGGGGATGTGATGGTGATGCGCTGTGCGTCGGATACATGTAGGGCGAAAACATGGCGAGATTGGGTGGCGGGAGGAAGGTTGACTGCAGGAACGACATATTGCTAAGTGGGAAGCTTAATGTAGGCAGGCTCAGAGCGGCCAAATCAACTGGCAAGTGCGAAAGCGGTCGAATACTATGATGCCCGGCGAAGGCCGCTCTCCTTTCGGAGACATCGACGGAGCTGTCGCTATTGTGGGACTCAGGCGAGCTTATGTTGGGCGAGTTGGAGGTCTTGTAGTCGTCCGCGCTCATCATCAAGGCTTCGTCCCTGCCATGATTGCCATGGATGCCGTGGATAGGCGAGGTCGCCGGATTACGTTGCTGTTGCGACAATTGATGCGACATGAGAATAGCCGGTTGGTAGTGTTGCTGCTGATGCTGTTGACGCTGCTGCAACTGCTGTTGCTGTTGCATCTGTTGCTCCAACTGCTGCTGCTGCTGCTCTTGGGTCTGCTGCTGTTGCAATAGACAGTGAATTTTGAACCAGTTCGATCGGCGACCGTATCGCGAGCCGGACTTGGACATCCCGACGTGCAGACATTTTCTCAGGCGGCAAGATTTGCATGCGGTGCGGTTCTTCTTATTTATCACGCACTTGCCGTCGTTCTTGCAGTCGGCGATGCTGCTCAAGTTGTTGTACGACCGTCCGAAGAAAGACTGTAACAAGAATCATGATCGAGCCAATTAGTACTAATGTACTGCATATATGAAATGAAATTTGCTCACGTGCGTTAAAAATTAATATACCGAGAGGTCGAGTTGACGCGACATGCGATGCTAAAGAAGCATGAATTACGTTTGAGGATATGCGCGAATAAATCATTTTCTAGTAAAGAATTTAATTAGTGTTATACGCGAAAATTAAAGATTTACTTATATATTATAAAATATAAAGTCTTAGGGAATTAAGTATCTTATATAAGTATATATACTTATCACATATCTATATAACAAGAAAGAACGAAAGTACGTATATATATTGTATTCCGAGGATAGTTCTTTTTACAGCATTGTTAAATTTCGAAACTTTAAAAATTTCCAAGAATATTAAAAGCTTGAAATATATATTCCTTGCCTTTCACAGATCCACGTTTGCAATTTTAGGATTAACTTTCATACGTTTTTTTTTTATAAGTTTGTGATGTTTGTTAAAAAATAATATCAGTTGTGCCGTCGATTCGTCATCGACGGTATCTTGAAATCATCATGCAAGCCACGTCCCAGCAAAGACGACGAGAAGAGACGAAAGGCTTGTGGAAATTATCGGCGCGACACTGCAACAAACGGCATTGTAACACTTGTAACAAGTACAACGCCGGAGTCGTTAACGTGTAACCGTACACTCTCGTTGTCTCATTCATGGTGTACGAGCGGGGGAGAAGGGATATGAGCGGGGTCGATGGTCGGAGGCGCGTGCGGCCTGCTGTTCTCGTGCTAATTGCCCAAATGGTGCAATTCTACGTGATTCCGACACTGCGCTCGTTGCTTTCGTTACCGGAGATGGGGAACAACGACCCCCCCCACTCGGTCGTCAAGATTTCTTTCTCTTTGTTTCTCTCTTTTTGCATAGAGGGAAACACGTAAAAAATTATCGCTCTAAATATCTCGGTCGTATAATGAATGGCGTGGTTTCAATGGCGTGGTTTTAAGATAGAATCTCCGACAGCACAAGGCAGGATCTTACTAAATCTTCACGTGAAGAAAATACATTTTACAGAATAACATTCTCGAATACATGACATTTTTAATATTTAATTTTGTGCAAAATATTAAACGATTTTAAACGTATATCGCCATTGCGAGCTGTCGCTTTTTATAGGCAGGTCGTTGCGAGACAGTTTCGGCTCGCCTCGCTTGGATTGATGGCTAGAATTTCCCAATCGTCGCGGTTTATATGTCGCTCGGCGCACAGCAGGCTCTGTCACATCGCCTGCGAATCGGTGAGCGTTTAAAGGGACGCGCGCACGCGGCCGCGTTGTCCACTTTCGCTTTTTCTGCCCGTACGCACGCCATATTATTAATCGTTTCTGGTTCGTTTGTCCTGGAAACGAGCTCTTCCTGCGGCCTGGTGGTCCCGATGCGCGCATTGCCGAGACCTATGGGCCGGCATCGCGTTCCACTTATTTTCGCCGTCGCCGTCGTCGTCGATGTCGTCGTCGTCGCGCTTGTCCTCCACCTTCTTGCCGGGGCGAGACGCTTACGCGAGGAAGAAAAGGAACGCGCGACGCTTCAGAAGCGATGACACAATTGAGAAAATGCTACCGTTATTACTGGTCCCTCTTTCCCCGGGCCCCGGCCGTGCGGCCGTGCGTCCCCATCGTCCGTCGCGCACGCTGAAGTTATGCAAACGGTCCTACTTGGAAGCCACGCTATGCTCGTTTCGTGGCATCACGTTTGGACAGTTATTAGGTCTTCGGGAAACTCGTTTAGTACGTTTGCGAGGTAGGAAACAAAGGATTTTGGAAACTGGAGTGGTACGTTTTTATTACTACGGTTAAATTCGAGAAGGGACTTGAAGAACAACGGTTATCATGCTAACGAGCGAAAGTTCATTATTATTCAAAATAAAAAAAACTTGTCTCTTTTATATCTCCCTTTACGTTCTGCCTCTTTTGTCTTTCCCAGTGAGCGCTCGACTACGATGTTTGTAATTCCACATTTAAGACTTTAATTATACAAACGTTAAAAGCTTATTATTCAAACAGGAAAAGGGAGCAGGACCCGGGCGCACGCGAGAGATTCCTTCCTTTCCGTTCCGATCGCCGGGCCGCCTCGAGACGCCGTTTCCGGCGCTTCGCACTTGTCCGCCACAATTGTTTCCGCCCTAGTTCACGGTTACGTCAGCACGACATTGTTTCGTTTCGTTATTTTCGTTTTCAGGCCCATCGTAGCATGTCAGCTCTCCCTCCTCCGCGCGGTCCCGCGGCCCTTCCCCGCCACCGTTCTCGTTTTTCTCGCTCTTCGAGCGCTTCACGCTTCGAGCGAGCGGCTTTTTCAACGCTGATGTGGCCGCGGGGATCGGATCGGTTTGTAGCGTTCTGAATCGCGGGCGCGGGCGAATCGCTGCTTTCGGACCACTTCGGACCAGGTTGACACGCATGCCTGACCGAACGTTTAACCTCGGCCACGGAGCGGCTCGTGAAAGCGATCGCTCGCTTGCGGCTCGTGGATCGTGGATCTTTGCGAAACCGCGGGAAAGAGTGTCGCCCTGGCGGCGCGGCGCGGCTCTCCGAGAAAGAGCGCGGCGAGGAAAACTTAGCTATTAGAGCGATGGATCAGGAGCGAGGTTCTCTCCTCTCGATCGCGGACGCACTTTTCGATGGTTTAGGCGAGACCGATCTCCTTCACGTCCGCTGCCTCTCGGTAGAACGATTCTTCGGAACGCGAGTCTCCCTTTGCGATATTTCGAGCGTGCAACGCGAAGTACAAGATACAAGTTCGAATTCGATCTTATGTCATCACTTTTGTTTCATCCAATTTGCATGTACTTTCCAATCTCGATGATGTACGGTAATTACGTAGGTATTAAGTATGTAGAATGTAGCAGTGTTAGACAAGATAATAGAAAGCTTTTTATCATCGAGAATCCCCAGTAAACGTCAAGTAACGTACGTGTTACATTATATTTGCATTGTTGAGCAAGAAATTGTAACTTGCATGTAAGTGCATTTAGTGTTACTTGGTGTTTACTGGAGATTCTCGATGATAAAAAGCTTTCTATTATCTTGTCTAACACTGCTACATTCTACATACTTAATACCTACGTAATTACCGTACATCATCGAGAATCTCCAGTAAACACCAAGTAACACTAAATGCACTTACATGCAAGTTACAATTTCTTGCTCAACAATGCAAATATAATGTAACACGTACGTTACTTGACGTTTACTGGGTCATAATAAAAGCGAGAAAACGAGTTTAAATTTAAGTAAAGATCAAGAAAATTCGCGTTATATATAATGGTTCCGTTAATCGGTTTTCAATTTTGCGCAGCGCAATTGTGCCGTAAAAAAGAAAAAAAGAAAGAGACAGAAAGAGATAAAAAATTAAACAAAACTCACCTTGCAACCCTCGCAGGTGAATGCACCGAAGTGGAAGCCAGCCGCTGGTTCACCGCACACTTTGCACTGTTGGTTCATCTGCAATAGAAGACAATCGATTTCTGAATGCGTTAACGAACTGGCGGTGTACAAATGAATTACTCTGCACTTTACAATGTGAGAATATTACTTTGGTGATTAAATCGGAGAAAAATGTTCTGTGTGTGTTGAAAGATATTCGGAAAAATTTCGTCGTTCAGATAATATCATTCTTCTTCTTAGTCGTTTCTCTCTGATGACTGAGCATCGTGACCTCCATAGTCAGTTAACATGTCTACAATGTGAATATCATTCTAAACATCTAATTATTTATTTATTCCCTTACCTCGTTGCCTCATAAATAGCAAATAAAAGACTGATTGTTATTGACACAAATTATAACCGCGACCTTCCTAACGTATTGTGTGTTGTTCTGCTTTCCAGACTTTTTTAAAACATATAAAAGTTAATTTTCTTAAAAGATGCTAAATATTTTTCGCCAATATCTATATATGCGTATGAAATAGCTAAAATGATCAATTAATGATATAAACGAGATAATTGTATAATAATTAAATTTACTACTAGATTATTGTTTTCGCGATATTAAAAGATTAACACCTGAAATTTTTTCAAGCGTCTTTGCTCCGCGCGTTTAAACGATTTATTTAATCGTTTAATATTTCTACGCTTAGTTTCTGATCTTACACTGAGAAAAAAAATTGTTAATCCCAAAACATTAACTAAACATTAGTTGTTTCAACAATTATTTAGTTTCTTTAATCAAGAATTAATTAATTTAACTAATGTTTAGTTAACTAACTAAAATGTTTAGTTGAACGTATCGGACTAAATATTTCTTGGGATTAATAAATTTTTTTTCTCAGTGTCGAAACTAACGGACTGTGTTAGATATATCGAAATTATTGTGCATTTGCGACAACAGAAAATGATCGTGCGACGCTTCTTCTAACAAATCGCTTCCTACGCGACGGAAACGAAAAGTAGATCAAACGCCGGCGATATCTTTGACAAGTCGACGATGCAATCTTTATCGTGCGCCTACACCGATCGAGCGCACGATTGGGTAAGAGAAGAAGCGCGTTGCATAATGCGCCGCTTTGCAGTGCAGCGCGAGCGCGAATCGCTGGATCGTGGCAAAGCGGTGCGTGTTACGTTCAACGAGCGGAAAACTCTTGCGCGCTTGCTTTTTTTTCTCTCGGCTGTCTCTGTCTCTCTCTCTTTCTTTCTTTTTCTTTCTCTCGCACCCGTGGCTTTCAAGTTCCTCGCCGACTCCTTTCGCCTTCTTTGGCCGATCGTCCAGAAAACGGACCGTGGCTCCGCGGTCTCGTTTTCACACCTCGTCGCACTTATTTCACGCCATGATCCCTTGCACAATGTGCATTTGCGTAGGCCAGCGGAACGATACCGTGATCGGAAACGGACGGGATACGGGATGGACCCCTGCCGTAACGTTTCTCGGCGTGACTCTTCCTTTTTTTATTTATATATGGGTTCTTCCTCTTTTTGACCGTTCGCGACATGTTTCCGACATTCCTCGAATTCTTCTCTACCAAAATGTGTCTGGCGATCACGAATATGGGACAATAGGAGGTGACCTAGATGCTTTGCCGCGGTCCGAGGGCATAACCGTACCCTACCTCCAGCGACTTTCATACGTGACAGACTGACGCTAAATGGGAAAGTAAATTTCAACTAATGGAAAAGACATCTATGTTGTTTGATCAACGGAGTCTCTCCTGACCTACACCCAACAGTCGTTGACACTTACCATTTGCGGAGATGACGCCGTTTCTGCCGCGGTGTACCTGCGCGGCTCGCGCTTGCAATTCCGTGTTTGTGTTTTTTTTTGCCCCACCTGCATTCGTACACTTCCGTCGCGTCACGCAACAATCACCGCCATTTCACCCCAGTGCTTCGCGGTGGTAATCTGTTTGATGTATAGGACTATTTTACGCTTGATAATTTATTCCGTATTATTTCGAGTCGCGTTCAGGGCGCAAATATCTCTTCTTACGTGATCGTTCTGTCGCCACAGTTTACGATATTTTTCTAACGTCGTCGAAAAACCGGCGGTATCCGTGTCGCGGCTTGCTCGGTGACGCTCGACGGCCGACAAAACCCAACGACATCGCCGAGCATTTCTCAATTGTGGTCAGATTATTCGGTATGATCTTATTAGCGACAGCCTCAAGGCTTCTCATTTTCTAAGCCTAATTGCTCGGATTTTTCGTAGATAAGAGCTGAATGACATTCGCCTGACGATGAACAGATATGATCCAACCGCGCGCCTGATCAATGGCAACCTGTGTTGATTAGAGGTGTGCATCCGGTAACAGGTAAGTCTCACTTGGTGATTCCTATGCACGGCAGTGCGTTCCGTGTCGATGCAATTGCGATGTTTAAATGATATTGTTGTCGTGCCGAGGTGTCGCAACATAGCACAACACAATGTCGCCAGATAAAATCAAACGAGGTTAACGGATTAGATTCCGCATAGAAATGGAAGAAATTATCAAATATAAATAATCACATATACTATAAAAATTAAAAATATCAAATTATAAGTTATATAATTAATCAATTATTAATTCTCGTATTTTCCCTTTTTAATATATATTTACTTTGTAACATTATTTATTATTTTATGTTATTTACTTATAATGTTCCTAAACATAACTTTAAAAGGATTTTTAAGATGATGATATGTGGCTATCAAGTGCATTTACGTAGAACTAAATAATTTTTATTAGAAATATTTAAAGACAACGATTAAAAAAATCACCGTAAATAGGCAAGGTAAATCAAACGACGTTCTGGTTTTACCCAGGCGAATAATAAAAGCTATCTCTCGCTTCGCGAGAATTATTCGTTGTAATCGGGAACTTTACAATTACGTCCAACGATAAGTGGTTGCCGCACACTTGTTATGCCGATCTCTGGTCGCCGCGGTCGGTGCATTATAAATAGCTGATTCACGGCTTGGTAATCGTAATAGCCCGCGCGACTCCGCACGCGGGATTAAAAATTGCAAGCTATTATCGTGTGTTCCCTTCTTTTTAATTTCCGGGCGATCTTACGTTTCCTCACAGCAACGAGAGAGAGCTTGACTGCTGTCCTTTTTACGCTAACCGTAACAAGACGTTATCGCGACAACATCCGAACACGAGAATACAAATCTGATCTTTGGCAATATAAACCATCTGGAAATCTTCGGTTCGTCGCCGAGCGACGGCGGCGGTCCATTTTTGCGGGCATAAAGATGCTCTATAACGAGTGCTCGTTTCTCATCGACATATGGCGACAAAACTCGACGCGTATTATCGCCACGGGCGGATCGCGACGACGATGATCATCGTCGAGATCGTCGGGGACCGCCATGAGGCCTGACCTTGTGAATTGCGTGCAATTGTTGTGCCAAACAGGCACCGGCTCGCCGTGAGAATCGTAACGTACTCCCGCGCAAAATCTCTGCCCGGCGATCATTGATATGATGACTGCGAGGTGAGCATTTGTCATGGTGCTTACAAAGCGATCGATCGTCGTGTAATTTCTGCGAATCGCGCGCCGCGTTTGTTCTCCTTTCCCATGCTGACCTTCTCAACCACCCGCTATATCTTTCATCACGAAAAAAAAAGACTCTCCCGTCGAAGAGTAGAGTTCACTTTTAACCTTGATACGAGATTCCTTTAGGCGCGCAGCATCATTTGAAAATTTAATCTAAATTTAATCGAAATCGTAATTTAATTAAGGCGCAAAAGAATAGACACGCAAAAATGAGAAAAAAAAACTGCTTAAGCGGAAATAATATCACATAGTATAATTAAGAAAAGCCAAATATACGAGCAAATAACAGATGCTATAGTTAAATGAGCTATAGTATATTGTTAGAGTAGACAAAGGTAATGTTTCTATTCTAGGTTAATAAACTATAGCTATTATTTAACGGTAACATTTTTTTCATTTGCTCGTATTTGGCCCTTTGAGTTTTCTTTGTTTTCACGGATAGCGAGCGCTTACTTATTTAGATATTTATTACATAATGTAATTTTACATTTTCACGTTAAGCTAAATGTTGAACCTTAATAAATTGAGTAAACAGAATTTCTCACGATTTCAATAATTATTACGATTGTAATTCCGGAGCACGTGACAACAGAGTCGCACAAGAATGTGCACTAAAAAAGAAATAAAACTGTAATCAGCCAGTCTATATGCTCTGCATCTCGCAGTGAAGGTAATGGTGTCGATATCTTCAGACTTCAGAATCACGGAAGAAGACAGAAGTGGACTACACAATTTCAGGGATTTCCAGAGGCAACTGTTTGGGAAAAAAAAAACAAAAACAAAAAAAAAAAACAAAAAAAAACGAAAACCATAATCGGAAAAAAGGAAAAAGAGGAAAAAAATAAAGGAAAAAAAGGATAGATACAATAATGAGAAAAAACTGTTTAAGTAGAAATAGTATCTATTATATAATATAATTAATAAAAGTCAAAGGGCCAAATACACACTAAGAAAAAAACTTTCTGCATTTTAGTAAATATTAGTTTGCATACAACTGTGACTTCATTTATTAAAATACAAAAAATTTTTCTTTTTATTAGTATACTTTTTCTCAGTGCACACGAGCAAATAAAAGGTATTAAATTAATTTTTTGTTCTAGAGTAGACAAAGGCAATATGTAAACGGTTTTATGTTATCATCAATACTTAGATTTCGTTCTATTTGACTGATTTGACTAAAGTACAGAAGTAGATTTAATAAATCGAATTATCTATATTTTTCTACGCAAAAAGAGATTTTTTCCCATCAAGTTAATAAATAGTGGAGAATAATCGAAAACACGCGATTTCTGCATTAATTTATAATTTTCTTTGTGTCGAAACTATGACATGTGTGGAAAAGTGGCAAGGTTAAAAACATTAAAAATGTTAAGAAAATGAAATATATATAAAGCTCTTTCTAAAGAGTTCGCAACAATGGCTAAAGGTTTTAATTGGCTTCTAACTCTTACGGTAAGACATCTGCCCTATACTTTAAGTCTATTTTTTTAAGAAGAAAGTAACCGTTCCTTTGAAAAGAATAAAAAACGTGCGGGATCGGGTACAGGCGTGTCTTCTCGTTGTATTCTTTCCATAAAAAAATATTTTTGCTTCATCCTTTCTTTCTCATAAAAAGAGTAAAAAACTTTGCCATTTCGCATTCTTTCCGAACATAGAGAAATTTTATGAGAAAGGGGACCAGGGGCAAGGATTTTTTTACGACTACTTTTTCCGGCTTACTTTTAATTAACGTCAAGATGTGCGCTAAAAAATATAGGTTGCGATTTTTTGTCGGTCACACATAAATGCGCTTTCTTCTTTCTTTTTTGTTAAACTGTGGAAAGATTCATGTCGATATCAGAGCGTTGTGTGGATCGAAGCTGCCTGGCGGCGGCCGACGGGCGGTTCTTCTCGCTATCGCTCGATACTACCGTTTGAGAGATCGATCGTTTGCGCATCTATTCGCCCAAATTAACTGACGATCTCGACTGGGCGGATCTATCAACGCGGCGATCGATCGTCCCGCGGGGAAGCGACTCCGCGGCATCGCGCAACCTCATCTCGGCGAAACGCTGATGGCTCCAGTTTGCGAAGAGCAACTTCCGTTCTTTCGAAACGATGCGGCACGGCGTTCCGCAGCGCGCGTTTCTGCCAATCGGCCTTCGCATTGCGCGCGACGCAACGCAACGCAACGCACCACGGCGCTATTTCCGATTCTATTGTCGTAACCGGGGCCCTCGATCGAATGCGCGGACGATTCGTCGCGGCGTGATGCCGCGAATAAATTCTACGGTTTACGAAGACGAGCGCGCGGGTCGGCGACGCACGCGCGTCCATCAGGCCTGACGAGCCGCGACCGAAAACTCATCGTGATGCCTAATCCGCGACGAACCGATTCCGTGGCGGATTCTCATCGCTCTCGCGTATTTCGATCGCGCTCGCCGTTTCCGAGGCATGACGCGGAATTACACGGGTCGATATCATTAAGACTGCATCAAATACGATTCCCGGGCACAAGCGCGTCTAGTAAATTAGTTATCGCACTGAACACATAACGTGGAAAGTTAACTGGATGTACCCTTGTGCTAAGCTGAATGACGTCGCGATAATCCAAATGTATTTTTTCTGTCATTAAACTATAAAGAACGATTTCAAAAATAATGAGATGTCATTAAAAACTTTGATAGACGTTGCGTTTCAATATTATTTCCGGCGCACACAAATCCTTAATTTAACGACTAGAGTATCAAGAAATATTACGTACTTTTGTCGTTACGATGAATTAACGTTGTGCAGATATGTAAACAGCATTCGGCAGCGACTCGATTTTAGATGAAGCATTCCATTGTATCACAACCTTTCCGAGGCTATGTCTCTCGAGACACTACTCGCCCTCTTATAAGATATTGAATTCTGCAAGATTTTGTTCATTGTCCAGCTGGCTGCAGGTAGAGGGAAGATGGCACAAAATTGCAGTCACACTTAGAAAACAATTTTCACTAGAATGTATGCGTTAAAAAAAAAAGTCTCTCGTCACAATAAACTTAATAACTCCAGTCATGCACTATTCGACAGTCGAAACTGATGTCTCCGAAAAATAATCACTTTTCTTTTTCGCGGGCAGTTCCAGAATTCCGTCATGAATTCCGGATTAGCCGAAATGTCTGTATCTTCGGACTCGCGCCTCGTCGCGACTGTCTTCGCGCAACAGGTCGCGAACCGACCGATGGCGTACGCGATGGCAAGTCCCCGCGATTGGCGAGACCGGATAACGGAAGAAGATGAAGACTCTTGACGCGCCGATGACCGTTAGGTGAATGACTTTGGTAGGCGAGGGTGTCCACATCGATTCTTGAATCGGCCCCCACCTCTGCACGTTTATTTTCCGTGGTCCCACTTCGACTGCCTGATCGGTTCTCCGCTCGCTCGCTCGCTCGTTTTGCCGCGCGGATCGGCTCGGGTCGCTCGTGCGCTCTCGTAAGTATACCTCGAATGGGCCTTATGGGCATACTGTGCGACGGATCAGCGGAGAAGCGTGCACGGTCTAACCGAGTGGTACAGGTGGGTTGTGGGTCCTGTCAGACTGCCCTGGTGGGGATTCTGCTGGGGGACCGGATAATCCTTCTACAATGTACGGTGGGGGTACGAGGGAGGGGCTTCACTCGGTTACCCTCTCTTCTCGTCTTTTCCTACTCCTTTCTTTGCGTTACCCCTCCTATCCTTTTTCAGTATATCTATGATGCACAGGCACTTGTAGACTTTTAAAGTTTGCGATATCGACAAGCCTTGCTTTTTGCTCTCTTCCTTGTGGGGAAGATCCATTTTATGATTCTTTTTATGGATTATAATTTTTCGGTCAAGGAGAAAGACTGATGCTTAAAATCAGAAGATATGAAAAGCACAAACAAGAAAATGTTACATATGAAGCGGATTTAGAATGTTTATATGTTGTGGAAAGAAAAATTCCATTTTTGTGTGAATAATAATATAACAATAAATACTAAGAAAATTGCTACAAATTACTTTATCAAAACCAGGTGTTTTGTAACCGTCGTTAGAGTTAATTGGTTCCTTCTATGGTATAGGAAGGTAGACCTTAAAGTCTCTAATCTTTCTTTTGAAAGTAACTGAAGCTTACGATGTTAGATAAAAAAGGGGACCCAGTTAAATATCCTAATTTTTCGATATACGTTATTACGTTCCACGATTAGTCTTAAAAAAAAGATCTACTTTTGTTTTCATCGCGATTAATGCCTTTTTTCCCCTGCGATGGCCTAATGTCGTCGAATTAGGGTCATTTTCGTGACTTTCTTCGAATAAGCAACGTGGGAAAGTCCCGTGGCTCCGGCGGCGATGGCGACGACAACGATACGTACGCTTCGCTTCTGTATCAAGGGAACGATTTACGGCAGTTCGTTTTACGTAATGGTTCGCTATTTAGAATGTGACATTTAATGCGAGACGTCGATCCTCGGCGTTGTGCGTCGAAACGATTGCGTTACACGTGGCGCGACATTACACCGTTCCACGATTCGACCAGAACGGGTACATACACATGACGCATTTGTACGTACGTACATACGCGTGTAACGAGATGACTCTCAAGACACGTCCTTGGAGGGACGACCGTGACGGCATGTTGGATCTCGGGCTCGTGCTTGATGGCCGATTAAATTCAGTGCTTGTAACGAACCGGTGCGGCGATCACGCTCGTTCGCTCGCCGAGATTTTCCCTCGTGCGTGCATGCTTAAATAGCGCCGCTTTCCTTCGGCATGCGTGCCGAGCGACATTTCGAGCGCGTGAAACCAAAATTCGCTCTTGCTCGCACGAAAATTTCACCGTCGCGTCGCAGGAGAAACACGCGAAATTCTCTCGACGATAATTCAACCGCGTCTGCGACGTGTGAACGACGATATCGAATCTAGCGTTAACTAATCAGATCTAAATGTAAAACGATATAATAAATTTGCACGAATCGAAGCGATATTGTGGACTTGATCAGTAATTATAGTAACCCAGATCGGTAAATACTCTTCATACATGACGTGCGGCTTTTTCTCTTTGTTGTACAATTATTGAACTTTATTGTCACCGATATAACAGATGTTTTATCGATATAGAATATAGGTTTTGATATTTTGATATAGTTATGACTGTTCTCTAAGAAAAGACTGATCTGAATCTAAAAAGATCACATTCTTTTCAACATCTCTGAACGCTAAATGGTTTTGTACAGTCACCCTTTCTCAATGACAGTGGAACTTTATGGCATAGTCGGCCCTTTGAGGTTTTAATCTCCTAAAGATACCTGCTGAGTTTCTAAAAAATATACTCACTATCTTTTGTCCTCTGAGCAGAAATAGACAATCTATATAGGACATTGAATATTTTCAAATGATTAATAGTTTTATCTACTGGATGTACGAATAACTCAAATAACTATCTATCATATATAATAATGAATAATTAAGAAAATATTGTTTATTGTTATGTGGAAGATAAAGTGAAGGCAGGCGACAAGATAAAAAATGATAAAAATGACGACAACATACATAATACTTGATGTTATTAATTAATACCGATACCAATTAAAGATTAGATGAATTTTTTAAGATCACGGAATTTATTTTTACAAATACTGTGCATTCTTTCGTATTGTTTTATTAATGGATTCTAGAGTTAATCTATAATTTCCGACCAGAAATAGAGACAATAAAAAATAACAGTTGGACTTTATTATTGTATCGAAATAATCCGGAATGTTATAAAGCGATAAAGCGGTAAAGTCGTCGATTTGTCATTAATCAATATTTCGTCCTTTTATGATTGAAGAGCGGTCAGTATTAAATACGCGTTTACAAATACGCGCACCATTCATGAAATGCAGCTACGGAAATGGGCCGCATTCATAAAAAAACTTCTTTTTTATTCTTAAGGTAGTTCTCCGGTCCTTGTACTAGAGAAAATCGATTTTCTATAGATTTTCTTGAAACTGTGAATATACGTTAATTTAGGTGTGCTTTATGCGTGCATGGTATAAACTTCTTACTTTAGTACCTCTTGCGATATAAAAATCGAGATACTGAGCCTCCAAAGTTTCAATTTTTACCAAAATTTAGTAAAAGTTGAAACTTTGAGGATCAGTATCTTGATTTTTTATACCGCAAAAGGTACTGAAGTTTATACCATGCATAAAGCACACCTAAATTAACGTATATTCACAGTTTCAAGAAAATCTATAGAAAATCGATTTTCTCTAGTACAAAGACCAGCTACCTTAAGTCACATTTGTTTAACATTTGTTTAGACTAATCCTTTTATAGAGATAAATTGACGTGTAGAATCCTTTCGTCAGAAAGAATTTTTTCACGAGTTTTCTTTCTTTTTACCTGTGAATAGAAAAGATTTTGTTCTGCAGATAAATGTACCGTGTCACTCGCTGTGTTTTGGGTTATTATATAGAGACTATATAGAGTATCGGATTTTAGCGAAGGATTTCATTATTCTTTCTTATCCTTTTTATCCCATTATTACGCGCTCCCCTTTCGGAGGCGGGGTTATCCCCAAAGGGACGACTGTTTGTTTCTCTAGCCGCCGGCTGAAAATTTGCCTCACGAAGCCCTCGTTTGCGTTTAACATAAGACTCGGACGAAACGGGTACATAAAGAATATATTTCCCGCTTGCCTCTTTCCTTTCTTCCTCTTTCTTTTTTATTTCTTTTTTTTTTTTGGTTCTTACACGAACGCGGATCCCGCAATTACGCTCGCGCGATGAAAAGTAATTGCGCACAACCCACGCTTCGTGACCTTTCCTCCTCAACTTTGTTGTAGGCCACATGCATTCCTGAAAACGCGCCGGTTATTCTACGATGGAACGATGCGCGGAGGTCGAAGGCGAATAGCACGCAACGCGAATCAACCGCCCCGGCTACAGATGGCGCCACGGGCCCCGGCGACGCCGCTCCGTGCTCCGTCGCCTCCGTCTCTTCGATTCCTCTCGTCCTCTCCCGCCATTTCGCCATCCCCGTCGCCTCTCGTTATCACGATCAATCCCGCGCGCGTTTTATGTCCGTCCAGGGCTTGTAAGTGATACAGTTTCTTTAATCAGTTTTCTTCGTCGCTACTCCACTTCGTCGTTTGTGTGTCTGTGTAGATGACCGAAGAATAAGGAAAACGATGAAAAGCGGCGATAACTTGCGTTGCATGTAAGTACGCTGCAGAAATATTTTCATTTCTTACGATATCGCGTTGTCAACTTACATAACCATTAGTAATTTGAGATTCGCAAGAAAAAGGTTTTACAGAAAGTAATTCGAGAACACATGGATGAACAGCGGGATAAAATATTGAATATTCGAACTTGATTCGAACTGATTGGGCTAATTATAGTCGAAAATATTATGATGGAAAAATGGATTACGTATTCTCTTTTTGTTAAAGTGTACGTCCTCGACTAGTTACTTTTGATCAAATTTCTAATCTAACAATAAAGTTCATTACAATTAAACGCGTCTCGAAGACACAATTCGAAGATGTACAACGTTTATTTCCGTTTCTTGCGAGATAAGCGCAAATCCGAATGCACACGAGCGTGACTGGACTTGTGCGGCAGGTGGAACGTTAATCACATATATTTCATACAATCGTGTTGTAAGATCGCTAATTAGTTTAGCATAACATTACAGCTGTTGCACTAGTGTTTTTATACGAGGGAACGTACCGAAGCGGCTCGTTGGTCTAGGGGTATGATTCTCGCTTCGGGTGCGAGAGGTCCCGGGTTCAAATCCCGGACGAGCCCGTGGTGCGTTTATTTTTTTTTTTTTTGCTTTTTTTCCGCTGAAATCATTAAGTAACGAGGACCTCGTGACGCCGTCTGTAATTTATCGTAATTTATCAAATTTCTCGGGCGTCGAATTTTAAATCGTACTTTTGCTCAACATATCTAGTCGGTCTCTCTGTCTATAACGAGATATCGAACCGCTACTCTTTCACTTTCGATTTCTTATTTACGCGCGCCGTGACGTCGTTAATTATACGCTACTCATCAACGTCAATTAATTCGTTATCTACGCGACACGCGAGATAAAAAGAGATATCTCGAGAACGAAGTCCCTTACGGCGCGGCGTGTCGTGTTGCGTAAACGCGCGTTGGTCGCCTCATGCGAGGTAGACAATTAACGTACGGTCTCGAGGGGTATAACGTCTTTTTTTTTTAGTGCAACGAGGGCTGTAATCCGTGAGAATTATATCTCATTAACGACTCGGGTTTATATCAGGATACAAGCGCGCCTCATTGTAGATGACCACGCGGTGCCCTCTAATTCGAACGGTCTCTTTGATGTTCTAATGCGTTTCTAAAGACAGAGTTTCTGTTTGGCGGATAACGGGACATCCACCTGATTGCTCTCTTAGGGATTCATCAATAAAATAGTGCTAAATTCTTCGCTTATGGTCTTAACCCAGTAAATTATAACCTTTGTGATAAATTTACAAAATATGTTACAGGCGAAAATACAAATATATTATAATCTATTATTTTATACTTTTTAATAAAAATATTTTTAAAACGTGGAAAAAAATTAGCTACCGTAGAAAATCTAGTAAAATATGGACAACTAACATTTTTTTGCTGCGAGAGCTATATTTTAGCAATAGTAGCAAAACCTTTTTGCCATGTTTTACGACTCCCTTTTTTCCCGTGAATTACACATCTTACATCTTTATACTATAGATCTTACGTTAAACTACAAGCGCTATGAAATATGAATGCTGTTTTGGTCGGATCTTCGCGCAATTGGATACGCAACGTCGAAAATGCATTCGAGTTTCGACGATGAACTCATTTATGCTGACTAAACCTAAATCCCACAGTTGGTGAACGTTAAATATGCCGCATCATATCACGCAGTTGAAAGCGGTGCGCAAAGACACGCGATATTGAAGAACCTTGACGGAAAAGGATTCTCTTGCTTCGGCAGAGATTATCGCGAGTGTGGCGAGAACGATACGCATGTGATCCGCGGCGTGATCGATTGCCGGCCCGTGAACGATGACGCGGCTTCTAAATTCATCGAAATGCCCGTTGCCACTTGGCTCGCCTTAATCGTGTGTCAGACGTGGTTGTGGGATAATCAACGCCCCGAGTGTAGCGCGAGCGGCGACAATTATTCCTTTCTCCAACGTGTAGTGACGGAAACGAACGTGTCACGTTTCCGAAAGTCGTTTGATCGGCCCCCGGTAAGTAAGATTCTCGCTCGAGATGCGGCGCTTTATAAACGAAGGCCACGCGGGGAACGATTATAAATGTCAATCCGTGGCCCGGTCTTCTCGCGCGGCGGCTTTTCTCTCGGCAACGGTGATAAATATGAAAAATCGGACCTATACGTCGGAATACCGAATCAGCGTGGAATTGAAATTTTGCAACATTGAAGCGAGCCTCGGGCGCGATTTATCGCGATAATAAATTCTGCCGGATAATATACGCAGGCGAATACGCGTTTGTGGGCTTTCGCAAGATCGGAGGGGCGCATCGTGATCGTAAACTCCGGTTATTTAAATCTCCGGTCCGCTACCGTGCACGTATACCTGGACACGTCCAAAGTCGTGTGGAGCCGCTCGTGGAGGAAAATATATTTGAAACGTGACAATTTATACGAGAAGCGACATCCGCTGGCGTGTTGGAAATGGAGCCTGGACCATTAATATTTCTTTTTTTTTTATTTGTTACGAATATGTAGGTATGCGATATAATGTGTGGGTTTTTTTGACATATTATTACGCGATCGTTCTTCTTTATTTTGCCTTGGCTCCTTTATTGGATTCTTGAACGCAAATCAACTGCTATAGGTCGGCATAATTAACCTTCAGAAATGTTAAATAATGTATCATATTAATTTTATATTGGAGTTTGTTGTATTTTGTTTTTGCTTCTATATTATTTATTTATTTCATTTATTTTTTGCAATTTCAAGAGTATATATTCTCTCGCATACACAGATCTGTCCTCTCGGATGTCTCGAAGCCATCACTATCTTGGACGATTCATAGATCGTCTGTAGAGCTATACAATCGCGGCTAATTCGGAGCAAAAGTTTCGACATTTGACAGGCTGTCTCGGTATATATAAAAGGCATATATAAAAAAAATTAAAGAAAAAATTGAGTTGTGCATAATGGTGAGGTCACACGATATAAACGGAGTCATCTCGATTGCTTGTAAAAGCGAATGTTTCGGCAAAAATGTGTTCGCGCAATCGTGCCCACGTGGAGAAAGATGTGATCTTTTGAACTATAAGTCCTTTCATCGACAGCCAAAGGCACCATGCGAGGTGCTTGAATGCGCTTCTATTCTCTACTCTTTTCTTCTTTGTCGCTTTTTGCTCGACGAAGGGGGTGGGAGAAAGAGACCGCGATTAAGTAATAGGTAATTAATAGAGGCACCGTTTTATCCCGATTTTTTACCGCATGCTCGCGCAGTAATTATAGCCCTACGTCATATACTCCCCCCCCTCTCTCGCACTCCTTCACTCGAATGTGTTTGTAATCTCGCACGCATCGCGCGTACGACAGGGTCGCCCGTAAAAATCTGAACGTGCAATTAGGGCTAAGTCGTTAATTTATTTTTCTCTATGTGTGGGCTAACGCATGTGGGCTTTTGACCGGTCCGTGAAATTATTGTCCGATACATTACTGAAATGTGAGCGACAGCAATCTCAACAATAGGATCATTTTTTACGCGAGTGCAAGTTGTTCCAATTTCCATATTGCTATTAAGATATTGAAAAAATAGAAAAGAAAAAATTTACTGGTAGTGAATTAATTACAATTAATTAAAATTATATAAGTAGAAAGGGCTGTAAGGGTCACAACGCGGATCCAGGTGCGTTTAAATATAAATGTGATTTATTCCTCGATTTACAAAAATCCAAACGTTTCGGCTCCTGTCCGAGCCATCCTCAGTGGTATAATATTAACATCAAAAATATATTCTCCTTTAACATGGTGAGTTTACTGTTTCAATTTGACAGAAACTTAGTGAGACTAAAAGGTCCAAATCTGTAACGTAATTAAGAGTTACATTCTTGTCTTAAATTAAAATTTTAGAAAAACTCACCAGTTAGTCTGGAGAAAAAATACATCGCAGTCAAACCGAATAATAAGAAAATAAGGCAAAGAGAATGATCCGTGCAGAGCGATCTGTAAGACCTACGAGATCCCATCGACACGACACACAACGAAAGACTGATTCGGTAAACGCACGCAGATAAACGTCTTATAACAAACTTGAAAACGTGTAGGTCATAAAGTAATAAATAATATACGGTGGTCGACGATAAATACAAAGGTATATAGTCAGTGATGTCTAAAGTCAAATTTTGTACAAATAAATATAAAACGTCGGTCAACAGATAAAAATAAATTTATGTGACTTACAGATAAGAAAGAATACCATAAAATCTACTCATGCATTGTGCTTAGTGAAGTCGAGTGACTGAATACAACTTACCGTTTCGAATCTCTTATTATTTTATTCGGCGAGAAAACAAATTTTTGGGATTTGAAAAAATTTACTTTGAGCACTTAAAATCAAACTTTCTGTCACTGAGAGAGAAAAATGGTTGACACGCAAATGCCATTCCGTTGGTACCTAGAGGACACTAAGAAACATCTGTGATTGATATTACAGGTTTCTAGCAGCAAGCATTTTAAAGTTAGGCCCGCGACAAAATTTCAGCAGTGTCACGAATAGCCCCGGTCTCCCCTATAAATAGCGCTTTAAAAATCATTAAATCAGTGAACGAGAGGGATCTTACATAATATTTGGTATGTCTAAAGCTATTTTTTGACTTGATTAACATACAATTTTGTAAACAACTGTAAGCAACTGTTATTTTGTATGATAATAAGCTGCCACTGGTGAACTTGCGTGTTGCGTAGTAGACGAGCGATCGATTCCGGATGCCTCCAGTATGGCGCGGACCTCGGGGTTAAACGTCCGATGTATCTCAAAGCGTCAAGGGGGCGAGTCGTCGAAGGCATGTCGTAATAGGTGTATACGACACGCGGCGCGACCAACCGGCCAGTTTCGTGATTTACGCAAAGTAATCCCATTACAGGTCGCGTCGCTCGTTAACGTCATACGCGCGGCTCCACAGAGCTGGACACGGTGCTGGAAGACGCGCGAATTACGCTTGTAAGCGGGTAATGAACGTCTCGATAAAATTCTAGTAAAGGGTGCTGCTAGAAGAATGCGAGAACTACTCAGGCCAGGATTCATTCCATCTTTTAGTGCACTTTACTCGAATCTTTTTGCAAGTATTGAAATGGCGCTTTTATCTTTAGTAATTATACAGAATACCCCGGATTTTTAACAATATATTCTACTTTAATTTAATTAGATAATTAAATTAGATGACGGCTTTGTATCAATCTTTATCTAATCTCTTTGAAATTATCTAGCGTAGAAGGTCTCGAAAGTTTAGGCGATGGTTATCATGGAGCAATGATGTCGCGGTCAAAGGGAGAACGATCGTCTCCGTCGGGGAGGTTAATATCTAGTCAGGCATCCGGGAAAACAAAGTGAAAGGAGCACCATCCTTCGACGGTGCATACACCGTATGCGCCGACATTCATTCTACGATGCGCACAGTTATATGGCCTATGAATCACGGAGCGGAGACGCTCACGTTAAGCCGGGAGTTAATTGAAACTTTTATTCGTAATTACGTATTTTTCTCTATCTTTAATACACACACACGTCGCGTCTCACCCGCATATTAATTCACCCTCGAGACACCTGGGAGACACAGAGAGAAAGAGAGAGAGAGAGAGAGAGAAAGAGAAAGAGAGAGAAAGAGAGAGAGAGAGAGAGAGAGAGAGAGAGAGAGAGAGAGAGAGAGA